TTGGCAAAATAAAAGTAAAAGGTGGTGGGATTTTCTGGTGCGGTGGCTTTGCCGACTCACCTTCGCAGCTTGATGTTTTTCTTCAATCAATATGTAGAAAATAGAATGGTGAACACAATGGTGAAAAAATTGCACGAAATGAGAAATTGGAAAGGGCTCATCAGAGGCGGTTGCGAGTTTTGCCCGCAGCGGCGCTGCTGGACTTTGTTCATAGTTTTCGGTTCACCCGTCATTTTTTTTGCTACAATTTGGCAATGAGGGTGCTTGAAATCAAATTTCGAGCAAATAAATTTTTTTTTACCTTTTTTGGCAGTCGGAGGTGGCTCCGGGCAACGACGGTCGGCGATTGACTCCTTTCTTAGACGACTGGTTCTTCTTCTCCGGCGGGAGGCTAGCGGGTAAGATTTGAGTTCAATGTAATAAAAAATATTTATATCCATCTTGTGTTAATTTGTACTGTTCATCGCGTTTGATCTCGATTGTCTGATCGTATTTAAAAATAAAATAAATATGGATCGTTAATCGCGATTTGATCTCGACTATTCGATCGTATTTAAAGAAGGAATAAATTTGGACCATTCATTGCATTTGATCGTGACCGTCTGATCTTGCCTGAGGAGGGAACAGATTCGTACCGTCCACGCGAGCGGGAACACTTCTGGATTGTCTGATCGCGGGCATGTGGATCGCCAGCGTGGCCTCCCACGTGGCATTGAGTCCGCGTGTCTTGCCACGCAGTGCGCTCCGGTTCGTCGAGGCTACTGAGTGGGCGGTCCTATGTGGTAAAATTTTTCTTAATTGCGTTCTGTCCATCAGTTTTCGATTTTTCTTTTAAAAACACCATCCGAACCCAAATTTTCACATATTTTTCTCAAAATTATTTTTAATTTCGTCATCAACTTATTTTTTTTTCATAATTATACATTAAATTAAAATTTATTAATTTTAAAATTAGATTTTTATATATTTTTTAATATTAAAATTAATTCTGAACTAAAATTCAGACTTGGGTATTACATAAATATTTTAAAATAAATTATTATAATTTTTTTTTTAGAAAGTGAAATAAAAATTGTAATAAATTAACTGTGAATTATAAAATTATTAATTCTATAAAATAAATAATTAACACAGCATATTTTATTCAATAGCATACTATCTACACATTTATTTCTATTTAATTTAATTTATGTTTCGATCTTGCTTACTTGATAATGCCTAATGGATCGCAGAGTTGCTTATATCTTGTTATGGTCTGCTATCCAAGAAGTTGATTTTCCTCTTTTGACAATCAATAACATTTTTGTTTCACACTTAAGACACGCACATATAAGTATGTATATATGTTAGACGAGCATCAATATTCTTGGAGAGGTCAACGGCGAAAGCATGGGAAGTATGTTGCCTTCACCGTTTTGTTTTGAGGGTAACTTAGCGAGAAAGAAGCTTTGATCAGCATCTATGGCTTCAACGATCTCTTTTGCAACTTTGTTCTTCCCATCTGCATGGTTAACCAAAACAAAAGGAAAAATAATAATATTAATAATTTATTGATGACTATTTCAAAAGCACGGTTTTCAATTTACTTTAAAATATTTATTATTTGATTTTAACAACTACATCTGATTTTTCAAATTTTTATTTTTTAAAAATAAATACAAAAATTATGGTTTGCTTAGTTTTCATATCACGATACTGTTGTATACATGAAAATAATTAAAACAATGACTCATATTACTATTTCTACATAAGGGAAGATGACGTATGCATGTCTCCTTTCTTATTATTTCAAGAATTATTCATATAAGAAAATTGATTCGTCAGGAAAAGTAAAAGGAGTAGCTACGTAACTGACGATGTATAATAATTTGATTTCTTGAATTCTTTTTTTTTTTTTTTTAATTTCTGATTATAGTTTTGAATATTGCAAGTATTGTATTTTTCATAAAATAATACCACTGTCAGTGCTGACTTTATCGTCCTCAAGTTCTTGAATCAGTACCAGATGATTCAAAATGACAGCAAAACCACTAACAGACATTATTAATGCACATCAACTCTCTGCTTCAGTTTACCAAACGATAATGAAAGATCAGAGTAGGTTTTATTTCTCTTTGCTATGGATTTTGTATTTTCAGTGCGGATCTTATCAAGGATTCGTTGGACCCCTCTGTAACCTCTGAATACTTTACCTTGCTCTTCTTCCTCTTCTCATCATCATACATGTGGCAGCAATCCAACCCAAAGGGAAAGCTTCATCACGCTTATTTTTAAAAATTGTTATGGGCATTACTCACATAATATAATATTTTTATTGTCAAATTATGGATTTTACATTTTTTTAAAACCCAAACTTCTTCTAGAAAACAAAATCCCGAGCCACGCCCACCAAGTTAAGGCCTAAAAGGTCTTATATTTACATTTACTTTCCAGTATTCTTGAATATTAATGAATTTTATCTAATACGCACTGGCATTCCTACTTCATCATATATGTATATATATAATGGAAAAAGAAAAGTATAGAAAATAGAAAGAGTAACTATGTATAGATATCTATATACCAATCCATAGACGTCAATACATATAAGGCCCCATTAAAGAGGTGTATACAGCACCAACGACTTCAAACATGCAGTCTTGAAGTCCTTGCAGATAGGAAACTCCAAACACGAGGAAGTAGCACGGGAATGGATGGAACCACTCCCTAATACGTAAAATGACTACACCACACATTTTTTTTACATTATAATAATTTATTTAAAGAAAAGATTAAGCAAACTAAGTTCCCTCATATCACCCACGGCATGCACACACACAAACACACACCCAGACAAACATACACACACACACACACGCATATTATGCTTGCTCGATGAGGTGAGCATCAAGCTCCTTGGAGACGTCGATGCAGAAATCAAGCAAAGTTTCTGGATGTGCAACTTCATCACTTATCTTCTCATATTCCAGAAGCCAGTGGACTGTGCTGCCTTCACCATTTTCTTTTGGGGTAACTTGGATAGTAAATGAGAAGCTCTTGTATTCCTCCATCAGATCTCCTTCAATCACCTTGAATTTGATCAAGTTTTTATCAACATCTATGGCTTCAACGATCTCTTTTGCAACCTTTTTCTTTCCATCTATGTAATTAACCAAAACAAGAAAATTAATAATACGTTACATTCCTTTATTTTTTTCAGGAAGAAAGAAGAAATTCATTAATAGAAGACAGTATACGCAGCAGAACGAAAACACAGAACTAAAAAAAAAAAAAAACAAAAGAAGCGGTTAATCAACACGAATACAAGAGATCAGTGTCATCTCTTGCAGCTTACCATGAAAGTAATTCCAGTAGACTATACTACCGACTGTGCCCCAATCACCTTCATGTAAATCACAACCATGAATCTTGTCGGTGCTAACATTGGAAATATGGTGAGGTCTGTGAGTGAATATTTCATGAAACTTTTCAGCCGAAGCCTTAATCTCTAAATGAGCTTCTAACTTACCATGCATACTCATTTTTTTGATGTCTTCTAAAACAAATTAATGATAATATGAAGTACAGCTTTCTAATTTCTTATGAGAAAACTCCTCAACTAGTTTACATCTATTTATAGTTTTGATGACAGTAACTAAGTTAAGATTCCAACAGTCATTTTCATTTCCTTATCTGTCTCCTTTAATGCACAATTAATACGGTGCATGAAGCACGAGACTAGTATTTTTTTCTTAATTTTTAATTGCAACGTATTATATTTTTCTTTTGAGAGTACTATATTAAAATCTACTTGTAATAATTAATAAATTTTGTATTAAAATATTTCAGAACCACTACTTTTAAATATTTATTTGTTCTACTTTTTAAATCTTTAAGGTGAAACAATTATGTTTAAAAGAAACTTCAATTCAATTATAGTCTTAAAATGCTTGGTAAGTATTTTTTTTTTCTAAACAAATATAAAAATATTATTACTATAGGACAAAAGGTTTTTTGCAGCGGACAAAAGGCAGATTTCGCCGCTAAAAATATTAGATAATCCCACATTAATGGCATTGGGTTAGCTGTATGCAGCAGTTCGTTTCTGCCGCTAAAATTGTGGGGTTTAAGTTTCTGCCGCTAAATTTACTCAAAATAGGCCTACCACGTAGTAGCTCATTTTTTGTCGAATATTATTCGTCGTGAAAATTTTTGCCAGGTGTTTTCTTTTTGTTTGGTTTTTGCGGCATGGCCAATGACTTTATTCTATTTATGAGGACCATTTTAATTGCAGCTACAGACATAAGAGAGTGCTTAAAAGAAATTTCTTGAGCTAAGAGGAGATTATACACAATCTTCCTCCCCTTAATGAAAGCACATTGGTTAGGATTGATGATATGAGGAATTTCAAACTTAATTATTTTAGCTAAGATCTTGTAAATACATTTGTAGAGAGTTTGACAAGAGGAAAGAGCCCTATAGTCACTCATTCTTTCAGGGTTCACTTTGGGACTAAGCAAACAAATAGTAGTGGCATTCACCTCATGAAGGAGCTTGCGATTCATGAAAAAATCAGAAATATAACATTGCGGCTAAATAGCAATAAAATGTAATACCCAGGCCTGAAATTTGGTCAATGATTAATTTTAACATTTTAAATATATAAAAAATTTATTTTTAAATTAATTTATTTTAATTTTGTTGAATTTATGAAAAAAATAGATTATGGATGAAATTAAAAATAATTTTGAAAAAAATGGTAAAAATTTAGGTTCATGGGATATTTTTAAAAGAAAAATCGAAAACTGAGGGTCAGAGTGCAAATAAAAAAAATTTTACCATGTAAGACCCTCAGTCAGCAACTCCGACAAACTGAAATGCACTGTGTGGTAAGGCACGCTGATGTTGGTGCCACGTGGGATGCTACGCGGACGATCCACGTGCCCAGCAATCGAATGACCTAGGATTAATCTCGCACGCGGGGACGGTCCAGATTTGTTCCTCCTTTAAATGCGATTAGATGGTCGAGATCAAATTGCGATGAACGATTTATATTTATTTTTTTCTTAAACGTGATCGGACGGTTGAGATCAAATGCGATAAATGGTCCATATTCGTTTTTTTAGATGCGATCGAATGGTTGAGATCAAACGCGATGAACGGTCTAGATTAACGTGATGTGGGTATAAATATTTCGCATTACACTGAACTTAAATCCTACCCACTAGCCTCTCATCGAAGAAGAAGAACTAGTTGCTGGAGAAGGGAGGTGACCGCCGACCATCGCTGCATCGGAGCCACCTCCGATCACCAAAAAAAGTAAATATTCTCCTACCCATTTGAAATTCGATTTCAAGCATCCTTGTTGCCATATCAGAGCAAAACGAACGATAGGTGAGCCGAAAACTGCGGGTAAAGTCCGACGGTATCGCCACGGGCAAAACCCGCAACCTCCTCCAATGAGCCCCTTTTTATTTTTCGTTTCGTACAATTTTTTCACTGTTGTGTTCAACATTATGTTTTCTATAGGTTTGCCGAAGAAAAATTCCAGCCATGAAGGTGAGCTGGCAGAGCTACCGCACATGAAAAACACCACCAGTAGGTTTCTATTTTCCAATTTTTTCGAATAACCGAGTTCCCATAATGTATTTTTTTTGTAGGAATATGTATAAAAGCAGCGAAAACTGGCCAAAATGACCGAAAACGGCCAGATCGAGGCAAACTAGAAGCAGAGGTGAGGTACGCACACAGTGAAACAAATGATGGGAGGGGAGAGGAAGGAGAAGGATTATATGTCTTTGCGGCGCAAACTACAATGGGTGAGATCATACGAGCTCTAGTTTACTGGATCGTATTAGAACTTCGCAGTTAAGCGTGCTTGGGTGAGAGTAGTACTAGGCTGAGTGACCTCCTAGGAAGCCCTCGTGTTGCACCCGTTTTTTTGCAGACGAGGCCTTGAACGTTACGCAAGATCGGAGCGATGGTCCGCTGGTTCATTCACAAATAAGAGTCATGGCATCGGGGCATTTTGCTTAATATTTTTCGTGCATTCAATTAAAGCTCATAACATGATAAGAGTATCATTGCGAGTATCATACATAGCAGATCAAGGAAAAACGAAGTGCGGCAGGCGATCCATTCATATGGGCATGAATTGAGGCGTCGAGGTATTTTTCTTGATATTAGAATTAGAAGCATATGTGAGGTGCACACATAGTGAAACAAATGATGGGAGAGGAGAGGGAAGGAGAAAGGGTATATATCTTTGAAGCACAGACTAGAATGGGTACGATCATACCAGTTCTAGTTCATTGGATCCCATTAGAACTTCGCAGTTAAGCGTGTTTGGGTGAGAGTAGTACTAGGGTCGGTGACCTTCTGGGAAGTTCTTGTGTTGCATCCTTTTTTTTTATAGACAGGGCGTTAAATATTACACGGGTTCGGAGCGACGGTCTGCCGGTCCATTCGCAAACGAGAGTCACGACACCGGAACATGTTACTTAATATTTTTTGCGCATTCAATTAAAGCTCATAATGTGATAAGAGTATCATTGCGAGTATCATACATAGTAAAATAACGAAAAATGATGTATGATGGGCGATCCCTTCATATTGGCATGAGTCGAGTCGCTGGGGCATTTTGTTTGATATTAGAACTAGAAGCAGAGGTTAAGTGCACGCAAAATGAACTAAATGACAGAAGGGGTATATGTATTTGCAGCGCAGATAAGAAAGGGTGCGATCATACCAGTACTAGTTCACCAGATCCTATCAGAACTCTGTAGTTAAGTGTGCTTGGGCAAGAGTAGTACTAGGATCGGTGACCTACTGGAAGTACTTGTGTTGCACCATTCTTTTTAAAGACGAGGCGTTAAACGTTATGCGGGAATGGAGTGATGGTTCGCCAGTTCATTCGCAAATGTGAGTCACGGTGTCGGGAAATTTTGCTTAAAATTTTTTATGTATTCAATTAAAATCCATCGTGTGATAAGAGTATTATTATGAGTATCTTACATAATAGAATAACGAAAATAGAGATGAGGCGGATGATCCATTCATATGGGCATTAGTCGGGGCGTTGGTACATTTTGCTTAATATTAGAACTAGAAGCAAACGTGTGGTGTGCGCATATAGCGAAACAAATGACAGGAGAGGGGAGGGAAGGAGAAGGGATATATATATCGCCAGAGCACGGCGGTGTCACTGTGCCAGAAACTCGAAACTGGCTGAAAATGATTTTTAATACTGATTGTGAATTTTTTGGGGTATTTGTAGGTACGTGAAGTATGTTTAATCTTCGCAGAAAAATTCAAAAAATAAAAAAATCACCAGTAGACGCAGTAAAAAATTCAGTATTTCAAATACTGATTCGAGTAAGAATCTCTCATCATTTTCTCTGTTACAGCAAAACGAAACTTAATAATTAATAATTGTGTGTTTTTATAAAAAATTAGATAACCCTAAAAATAATTATAAGTCACTAGTGGAGGCAGAACCGATTAATTCACAGTCATTTTGATTTTCTGTTTATTTTTCTGTATTGCCTATATTTATTTACTATTATACTGTGCGTAACTCAATTAATGATTTTTAGGATCTTTTTGATTTTTTTGTTATATATTTTTCCTGCATTGCATGTCGGTATTCCAGTTATTGATTATTTAGTTGTGTAAAATTATATTGTTATTTAAGTGAACGGTGAGTATAAAATGAGATATAGTTATTGTATGGTTGATTGTTATACTGATGAAAATCTGTATGGAAAAAACTTACTGGGTACCTAAAAAAAGGCCAACGGACCCGGTACATAGAAAACTCTATCGTGAACATTACTTTAGTCGGACGGAGTTGGAAAGTTCCTTACCAATAAGATTCGGGAGATATGATTCACTCATACCGGATAGAATATCGAGGTGGTGGAATGTTTAGTGTCCACTACCGGACGAGATATGAGGATAGTCAGTTAATTGTTTAATTAGATATTGGGTTCACGAGTATGAAGATATCTCTATGGACCCCTAAGGGTATCAGTAAGTGTGTGAAAATATAAAATGATCGTTTCTTATAATCTTATATGTGATAAATAATAGTGCATGAATATGAGTTCTCATAAATTATTGTTGGGAAAGACTTGTTATACAATATGGAATAAATAACTTTCTTTATAATAAATAAATTTACATTAAATTAAGAGCTCTATTGGTTGTTTTTTTTATTTTTACCAATATTTAGTTTTCTGTATTTGTTATTAGTGTGATATTTTTACTGAGTTAGTCTATCTTACCTTTTCATTAATTATTTCAGATCAAGACGACCAAGATCCAGATCCCGATCAACAAAGAGGTTGTGAATAATTAACCACTCGAACTCCCTTCAAAAACTAGTAAAAGTCATTTTAGGATTGGTTAATTATTTGTCTTTCGTTTATTTCTTTAATTTTTATTTGTTCTTTTAGAATGGACATTCTTATAACCGTATTGGGCATTCTAAAGTATTGTGTAAATAATGTAAACTCTAATTCTATTATTTCGCTTCCGCATTTAATTTATAACTTTATTTCCATTTAAGTTCCGAACTTTTATATAAAATATGCTCTACTATCTATTTTTATATTAATTAATATCCAAACAAATATCTTTAATATATTTGTACTTTAAAAGATAACAATCATATTCATTTATATATATATATATAAAAGTAATATATTAATAAAAAATATTATAAAAGAATTATAAATAATAATCCTATAAAATGAGTGTATATGCAAATTCACTCGTATCATCGTCATTAACTTAAATAAACCACCTTCAAAAGCAACTAAAACACTCATCAAATAACAAATTTATATGTTTGCTATATATTATATATGCATACATGGGTGTGTAGAGCTTTATATTTGTATGTTTGTTATAGGAATTTCAGTACAAACTGCAGACTTGTGTGTGATCGAGTTTGAGTCTACGTTGTCGAAAAGAAAAGTTACATTTATGCTTTCAAATATTTTTAATTACAGACAAATGAAATTTTTTGCAATCTATGTCCTATGCTTTAATGTTACCGCAATAATATAAGAGAATTTTTCTAGGAATTAATGGCAACAGTGTATGCAAATTCATATATTATATAACGAAAAAGAAGCATGTACACAATAGACAAAGTTACATATGTAAATTGGTCCACATCAATACATATAAAACTCCATTAATCATAATTTATTTTAGACATGAAGTCTTTAAGTAGTTGCAGAGATGAAACTCCAAACAAGAGGAAATTGACACCATTATAAAATGATTACACACCACATGCAAAATACAAGCTATAATTTATTGGACATGCATTATTATAATAATGTAAAGAACATTAACATACAAAGTTCTCTCAGATCACAAACACCATGCTATATATATATTATGGTTACTCGGTCAGGTGAGCATCAATGTCCTTGGATATGTCGAGGATAAAAGTGAGCAAAGTTTCTGGATGTGCAACTTCCTCACTTATCTTCTCGTATTCCAGAAGCCAGTGAGCTATGCTGCCTTCACCATTTTCTTTTGGGGTAAGTTGGATAGTAATTGAGAAGCTCTTGTACTCCTCCATGACATCTCCTTCAATCACCTTGAATTTGATCAAGTGTTTCCCAAAATCTATGGCCTCAACAATCTTTTTTCCGATCTTTTTCTTTCCATCTGTATCATTAACAAAAAAAAAAAAAATAGACGACTAAATTATATATACATATTTCTTAGAAAAAAGAAACGAAAAAATTCATTCAAGGAAGAGAGTGAGTAGCAGAACAAAAAGAAAGAACTACACCCAAGAACATAACTGAAAAGAAATAAAAAGAATGTGATTAATCAACACAAACATAAGATATCAGAGACACCTCTTGCATAAAAAGAGATAATAACAAGATAGCTTTTCTAGAAAACTGACGAGGAGAAGACAGAGACGATCATACCATACTATATATATAATATATAATATACAGTTATAGTATTTATTTATGTACTTATGAGAGTGCAGCTCACCGTGAAAGTAAGTCCAGCAAATAATACTGCCGACTGTGCCCCATTCACCATCATGTAAATCACAACCATGAATCTTGTCGGGGGTGATACTGGAAACATGGTGTGGCTTATGAGTGAATATCTCATGAAACTTTTCAGGTGGAGCCTTGATCTCTAAATGAGCTTCTAGCTTACCGAGCAAACTCATGGTTTGATATCTTCTAGAAATAAACTAAGAAACTGAATATTGATGCTTCTAACTCTGAGAAAATACATCCATTTATAGCTGCCATGGAAGTAAACTGTGGACTCTTTTTTTTTATTTTAAATCTGTTTAATAATTAATTATTTTTAACCTCATGTTTTATTTCTTAAAATTTGGTATGATATGAAACATTATGTATCATAGATTTCACCAGTTATTTTCTAAATTAAAAAGTTGATACCTTGCTTTCTTTTTTTAAAAAAATAGTAAGTTTAAACTAAATACTATTATTGTAGTTGTCATTTGAAATTATTTCTAATTTAATATAATTTTTATACATGAATCATCTAATAAATAAATTTTTTTAAAAATATATAATCAATTTCATTATTAATTATTAATATTTATTTTAAAAAGTAAAACTATTAGTTGCCTTAAGTTATAATATGCTTTGAAATATCTCATTTTTAGATGAATGTTTGAGCTGTGGCAAGGAGTGGTAAGAAAATAATTTACAACAATCTTGCTCTAGGGTATGGTATTCTTTAAAAGAATGAATTTAATGTTTTGAGAGTCGAGGAGGACAGAGATAGATGTAACGACCTCGAAAATTTAAAAGGAAATGTATATAAAGAATATGAATGCAGAAGCGAAATAAAATGTTCTGATTAATATCCCTTACACCATAACTTAAACGTACTAACAATATTAGCAAAATAAGTCCTATAAAGGGAATACTAGAAACGAAAGACTATAAAGGAAACTAATAAACATGTAGGTATCTACTCGCCGTATTCTTGTGGATCGGGTTTGGGAACCAAGTCCTCATAAT